TATTAAGTTTTTAGTTTGCATAGGCAAGTCTTCAGGTTGCATTAAACAATATTCATTCAATTAATTTTTAATGCATAATTCAATGTAAATTACAAAAAAATGTCCATATACGAATTCATCTTTCTACTTAAAATTTAAAATCGAAATTTTAAGTTTTAGGAAGACCTAAGTAACGTGTAGCGGTTTGCTACCTTAGTAAAGCCTGACCGACTCAGAAATCTCTATGGCAGATTCTCCAACATCAGGCTAGACTCCCAGAACCAGCTAAGCTATAGCCCAGCTATGAAAAGAAACAGACGTGTAGCACGGAGCACGCTTATTCAGTAAGTATATTGCGGATCAAGTGTACACGCAGGGAGCTACTCATGATCAGGATGAGGGATTAGGTTAAACATAGGTTAATGATTGGCCACTGTTTGTACGGTCGCTGCACACAGAGTTGTACGGCCTCACCTCCCAATCCTGGCGAGCAGACATGCAGGTACACGATGACGCACACAGCGATAACGTGTCCCACAAACGTAAAGTACTTTTTCATTTTTTCTGTGAGAAGCAATTGGAATCAATTCGGCTGGTAGCTCACATTCCAAAGTTCAAAATTAATTTATCGTCCATGGGATTGCAGTGAACGTATTACAATGAACCGCTGTTCTCATCGACTGATAATTGATCAAGAAGGGCAATTGTTTTTCTCCCAATGGCCGAGGAAGCAAAGTTTTCTTTTGTGAAAAGACAGTTTATGCTCATAGATAAGAAGGGCGCTTGAGGTTAATTTAATTTCTCATGATTCGAAATACCAAGGTACCTATAAAAAACCATCTATTTTTTGAGCAATCCACCATGGATAAATTACTTAAATATAGCTAAACTTAACTGAAGGTTAAAATGAAGCCTGACAGCACACCAACGTCGTGTTTATGATTGTTATCTAAACTCATGCGTGCATAAAAAATGAATGAAACATGATCGCATTGCTCAGGTTTTTTTTGAAAACAATGTTTTTCTTCCTTATAGCGAAGGTACGAAGAAACGTCATTTTAAAATGCAAAAATTTGTCCATTTCCCAAGAACGATAAGATGTACGCAACCTTCAAATCCATGTCAACATCCATACCCTTTAGAATTGATCCTGTCCAGTAATGCGAACAGACTATGTAAAAAGTTTTCACTTCGAGTCTACTTGTTGAACATATACTAAAAAAGGCAACTTTTAGAGTATAAATTAATAATGATCATTTATATCGTTTAAATTGGTGGTATGCCATGAAAATTTAACAAAAACTAAGTTAACTTCAACTAGCGAAATATTTCTTGTTCCATTATATTTCCTCCGTTAAAGGAAGTTATATGATAAAGTAATTGGTAAATTCTATTAAAATGAAATAAACCAACATACAAATTTTATTTTTATTTCATTATCTTCAAATTTTATTTTTAATTATTTTACTCAAATTCCAAGTTGTTTCATTTCCATGTTATTCAAAAAGTAGGGAGAGAGAAGTACATAAAAATTCATTTTACCTTCGTATCTTTACTGCCAGTAAAATGTGGTACAATTAAAATCCGACCTTGATTAAAATAATCTTGAATAATATTTTTTAAATTTTAATAAATAAAACAACAGCAAAGCAGTGGATTAGCATTCAACCACCCTAGCAATTCTCATAGTGATTAGCAAGATAGTATAAAATGCGTATAGGCAATTACTAATGCTTAATATTATGAAGAGTGCGTTTCTATAAGAAATTAATCCGATTAATTCTCGAAATTTATAAAGCTTACCTTGCAAGATGATCACAAAATGGCAGGGTTAGCACATTTGAATCGTAATTTTCCGCTCGCTAAGGTCTAAATCGCAATGCGCGTAAATTAACCTTGACTTAGCCTCATCGATTTCTACAACGAAATCCCCTAGTGTGAACTGAGCTGAGTTACCTCAATAATACCGAGGATGCGGTATATCTGACTCGAAAAGTAAGTCGAGGACATTTTTTCCAAATGGCAGACTTTATGAAATTTACCATTAGCCCTTAAGCTTCGACTTCAGCTTTCCCCGTGGGTAGGGGAAAACAGTTCATTAGCTGTCTTCTTGCTTCCCAGTATCTCTGGGTTTCTGTCATTGTCTTTGGGGCTGGACACCGAATCAGGTGGGTCTTCTCCATTTCCTCCTGTAGGTTACATAGGGGGCATGTGGGTCGAGTGTATACTCCCAATCTGTGAAGATGTTTTGCCAAGCAATCGTGTCCGGTACGTAGTCTAAACTCAGCAACGACCTCGATTCTTGGCCAGTCGGGTATGTCAGAGAGTGCCACAGTCCACTGTTTTTCCTTTGTTCGAGCTTTGAGTTCGTTGAACCTTGAGGTCCAAAATTCTCTCCTGATTAAGGCCTTCATTGTGGGGAAAGACATCGGCCGATCCATGCATTGCAAAATCGTTGTCCCCTTCTTAGCAAGTGTGTCAGCAAGCTCATTGCCTTTAATGCCACAGTGACCAGGAATCCATTGTAGGAACACTGTTTTGTTTTTCTCTCACAGCAGCTCATAGATTTTTCTACATTCGTTAATCTCAGCTGTTTTGGGTGACTCTCTGCTTCCAATTGAGTTTATTGCTGACTGTGAGTCTGAAAGTATCACCGCTTTGGTGAATTTGGTATCTAGGCAACATAATTTGCATAGTGCTATCCTAATGGCCTCTATTTCTCCTTCAATAGCGGATCTATTGTGTCCCACTACTGCGTAGAAGGAGACGAGTTCAGAATAGACACCTGCACCAATATTTGCTTGGTTTTCTATGTATGACCCATCAGTGAAGACTTGGAACCATTGATCTGTAGGATAGTTGGCATTGATTGTCTCAAGGGCCAGTGTGCGCATTTGTTCTGGAGGGGTGTTTGATTTCCTGAAGTAGTCAAGCAGTTTGGTGCAACACACTACATCAGTGTCTTCTAATGGGTGGAGGAAGCCATTTTGGTTCGTTATTGACTTGTAATGCTTTCTTCAGTTCTAATGCTTTCAATATTAGACCAGATTGCGTTTTCAGATGTCTTGGTCTATTCTCATAGGTGCTGAAGAATTTATCCATGGGAATGCGCAGTAGCTTCTCATGCAGGACCAAGGCCTTCTCTTTGATAAGGGAACATATTGTGGTGCTTCCTGTAACCAGAAGCATTGCATCAATGGGTGTTGATTTTATCCCTCCAGCAATTAGTCGTAGTGCTTGGTTGAGTACCTTCTCGAGTGGTTTGAGAGTCACCTCTGTGGCTGTAATGAGTGGCTCACAGCAATACAACATTATTGACTGAATAAACATCTTGTAAGTTGAGTTGAGAGTTGAGCGTGCACAGACCCATACGCTACCAGCAAGACGCTTCAGTACTTTCAGTCTATTGGAGGCTCGTTATACTATTTTAGCAATGTGACTTTTCCATGTTAGCTTTGTGGCAAACGTCATTCCGAGATATGTGAACTCGTTGTTTTTTTCTAGGGTAGTATCCTTGTACCTTAGAAGTGAGTTTATGCTGTGACGGGCCAAAGAAAATGTTTGGAATGCATTTTTTGAGGTGTTGATTACCATTCCATTGTTTACTAGTAGTTTAAGTGCACCATTTAGGGCACTTTCCGTCCTCTCCCAATAATTACCATTCCATTGTTGTCACACCAGTTTGCTAGTAGCATAAGTGATTCCATTGTTGTCGCACCAGTTTGCTAGTAGTTTAAGTTTACAATTTAGGGCACTTTCTGTCCTCTCCTGAGCGTTTATCTCACAGTTAGGGCACTTTCCGTCCTCTCCTGAGCGTTTTTCTTAGGGACAGAATGACATAGAACAAGATCATCTGCATAAATTAAGCACTTGATGCTCGTGACTGTCTGTACTATCGATGAAGACATTGAAAAGAGTGCAGCTTGTGACAGCTCCCTGTCAACATTGAAAAGAGTGCAGGTTGTGACAGCTCCCTGTGGAAAAGCCGAGTGCAGCTTGTGACAGCTCCTTGTGGATGTCCTGTTTGTAAAAGATTGGATTTTGATAGAGCATTTCCATATTTGACTTTACATGGCCTTTGTCCAATGAATGCTTTTATCCAGTTTTGCACGAAATGCCTCATGGAAATGTTCGCCAATTTCAGAATTGGCTTTGCTTTCCATACTAAGTTGAGAATTGGCTTTGCTTTCCATACTAAGTTGTATGCTGATTTGAAATCGACGAATACAGCCGTAAGGGTATTTCTTGCATCAATGGCATCTTTTATATGTTGGGAGAAAGTGGCTATGCTCACTCCCAAACGCAATCGGAAAAAAACGCGCATTTGATAGTTAATTTATCAGTAGATCGTAGCGTGTTCCAGAATGTTCAGTTGCATATGAGTTCCCTTGGTTCAGTCATTTTACCACGGCGCTCAATAAAGGGCCGCTCCATTTTCAAGATCAAAAATTTAATTCCTCTCCAAGCATCACGAAAAATCAAACTAAAATAATATATTCATTTTCCCCTTTTGGCCCAAAAGTTGGGCACAGAATGTCTACTGTATTCAAACAGGAGTATTTTCTCAGTTGTAAAAGGGAACGTAAAGGTCAGTAAATAAGAAATAAATGCGTAAGGAATTTTTCAATGAGTTATGTGTCTGATTCAAGAAGTATAAGAAACTGGATTCAAACAGCAAGAAATTTCATTTTAAATTAACTCAAATTTTCTACCCTTCCTGCATTTAACCAAATAGATTAGATGTATCGTGAATCGTATAATGATCTGTAGACAAAAATAAGTTCTTATTTTGTGCCGAATGGTTTCCTATCGTAAATTAAAAACGAAAGAGTTTAATGCCTTTTTTTCCAAATATCAATGATTTACACGAAAATTCATTACAGAATTGTGCTAAAGTACAGTATGGGGATGTTAAGACACATTGTAACGATAAAACTAAAATGACTACCCTATAACAAGAGAAAACAGGGAATGTGCGTAACAATTATTTCACAATAAATAAAAAGTAAAAAGTTTAGAAAATGGATGTACGGTCTAGCACAAAATTTATGAAAATATTGAGATGAATAACTTCATGGCAAATTTACAGATTTATTTCATACATAATTCAATAAAATAATCTAATTAAAAGTCCATTTATGAATTTTTTGAAAATAGATATCATTCGTCAATTTAATTTAAATTAAATTTAGAATCGCCAATTTAATACATTTTGAAAAAGGAAACATCTGTGGCCTTTGTTTGTTTATATTCCTCAAATTTAGTTAACTGACATTAAGGTTAAATTCTGCTGTTTTTAGTTGTATAGGCGTCCGATGTCGGTCGTGGGTTCGTCCGAGTACTATTGTCCACGGCTACTGGATTATTTTCTCATTATTGGACCCCGAAAACACGAAGAAAGTGGAAATCAATTATACGAATCTGCAATCCTTAAACAATATCCCCCCATTGAGCACGAAGACTTTCCACTACCCATTGAAACTGTTCATTTTTGCCAACCAGACCCTCTAACTCGTCATGATATTCAAACCTATTTTTCCTCCGTGAGCAATTTCACATTTTAATATTTTTAGGATTCCTCGTCATTTGTTTTCACGCTTACTGATAAGGACAAAAATCGTACACGCTATGGCGTCTGTCTTAATTTTACATGCAAAATTAAAGGGGTAACTTTAATAATTTTTTTCCTTTCCATGAAAGTTTAGTTTCTTACTTTTCTCTTTAAATTTTGAAATTAAGGATGAGATTGATTCCGCCATATCGCTAATATCGCTTTGCATTATCACTCACCACCCTATATTCTCTGGATTCCGTCGCTGTTTGAATGCAATTAAGGATATGATTGATTGTATACCAGGATTCGGAAAATTGATAACGGGGCAAAATTGGTCAGTATTTTGGGCAGTTATTGTTTTTCTATTAATTTTCCAGATTTATTATTTATTTCTTTATTGAACTCTAGGAATCTGGAGAACTTTTGGGAAATATTTTTCTATAATGATTTAACGGAAAATAATATAACAAATTGTGAAGTTTTGATTGCAATTGAATTCGAGAAGTGGATCCTTCGGTTATTAAGTACTCCTGCACCAGTACCTGGCAATACTTTTATTCGCGTAAGATTATTCATTTACTCCTCTAACCTCTCCCCTGAAGTTAAAACTTTTCCCGGAAGAGATAGAACCGCCGCTTATTTTCGCCATGCCAGACAAGAATCGCTTATCCCTTGTGGATTTCTCGTTTTACATCCCAATGGAATTACTTGGTATCCAGAACTGTCTAAAAGTCATTTTAGCCGTTCTTCTTGAGCAAAAGGTAGTGGTTTCATTCGATTGTTAGTGTCAATATTTCTGTTTGACCTGAGTATCATTGTGAGCATTTACTTTTGAACCCAATTTCTAGCCTTTTATGTTTTCAACTAGCTTATCATAATAAATTGAAGTCAATGACAAAGACGGAAACGTAGAGATGCTAGTTGGCCAGAAGACTACTAATGAACTGCTATTAATTAACTGGTTTATATGTACCCCCCCCCGTGGGGAAAGCCGAAGTCAACTAAAGGGCTAATGATAAATATCATAAAGTCTGCCATTTGAAATAATAATAATAATGTTTTCAACAATTCCAATAATGTTTCAAGAGTGCAGATAGCCTGTTTACATTTTGTTTAGTTTTCTTCAACTTAACAATTTCCCGACTATGAAAATAACTTTTTTCTTTCTCTCACCTTGGTTGAGCAAAGCGACTAATGAAATATCTTAAATTACGCATTGAAATGATTCCTTATAATGAAATGTTAAAAGAACTGGCAATTTCTCAATTAAATATTCTTGTTCAGTATAATATTTCGAGAATAGATGCTTGACGCTTTTATGATGTTTTTTTTAAAATCGTATTTCGTTATGGCATGTGTTCTTTGCCTTCTTTCCATGTACAATTAAATTGAATTGAAAATTGTTTAGCTGTCTCTCCCATATTACTAGAATTCTGGCAACATACGTTGACAACGTACCTTTATGCTCTATTTCATGTAAAAATTTCTTCCTATAAGTCGTTTTGTCACAAATCAAGTCGTTCATTATTCAGTGTCCCAAACAACTTCATTATGGACACAGCAGACATTGAATATTTTTGTTATTAGGTGGGAAAATAATCCCATAATTTTAAATGTTACAGAAACGGACCACGGTTAATAATTCTTTTGCCATTGACAATGCGAAAAATATCCTCTCATGAAATGCTAAAGTATTTGAACAGTATATCAAATTGTCTTGTTTCTCCCCTTTAGGTGTTACTTAAATCGAAGGATTATAATGCCCTCACAATGTGCATCTTGGCACTCACAAAGATGCTCTATCCACTTCAATACATGTTCCCTGTTATTCCGCTTCTACCCACTTCTCTTCCTAATGCTGAGCAGGCAACTCATCTTTCCTTTATCAATGCTTGTCTATTTCCATTCAGCACATCCTCTAATTCGAGCATCTATTTTTTTACCTTTTTGCATTTAGATTCTTCTATCACCAACACCGTTCCTAATCGGAATTCCTTCTAGCTTTCTCCCAGAAAAGGGCAAGCATGTTCCGATGTCGGAGATTTTGTTGGTAGATATTGACACTGGAGAGGTCTGTTTCTTTAGCCTATTCATTACTTGCTTCTAAAAAATGCAAAATAATGATTTAGAATGCTAATTCATTCGCTGCCTGTTGGAATATTTATGTATATTCATCTTTAGAAATTTCTAATACATGACACATTAAAAAGTTGGGGCAAAAGCCTACTAGTTTATGAATATAAATGTATCGTAATAAAAACTGTTAAGAAGCAGGCATTCCAATAAATAAACGTGAAAAATTGTTCAAAGGAAATGCTTTGAGTTGATAGTTGATGGGAGGCTAGAGAAAGATCATTGAATCCCCTATGATCGTATTGAGCAAATGCACCAAATCGATATTCATCGAGGAATCATTTGTTTGGATGGTCGTCACTTCTTCTCTTGACCTTAAAATATATTTATTTACATCAAATGGCAGGCGTCTTGATGGTTAT